CAGGCCCCCGGCAGGGGGCGCCCTGCCCCACGGAGCGTCCCCCTCGCTGCTGCGCCCGGCAGGGGGCTGCCTGCCCCACGGAGCGTCCCCCTCGCTGCTGCGCCCGGCAGGGGGCTGCCTGCCCCACGGAGCGTCCCCCTCGCTGCTGCGCCCGGCAGGGGGCTGCCTGCCCCACGGAGCGTCCCCCTCGCTGCTGCGCCCGGCAGGGGGCTGCCTGCCCCACGGAGCGTCCCCCTCGCTGCTGCGCCCGGCAGGGGGCTGCCTGCCCCACGGAGCGTCCCCCTCGCTGCTGCGCCCGGCAGGGGGCTGCCTGCCCCACGGAGCGTCCCCCTCGCTGCTGCGCCCGGCAGGGGGCTGCCTGCCCCACGGAGCGTCCCCCTCGCTGCTGCGCCCGGCAGGGGGCTGCCTGCCCCACGGAGCGTCCCCCTCGCTGCTGCGCCCGGCAGGGGGCTGCCTGCCCCACGGAGCGTCCCCCTCGCTGCTGCGCCCGGCAGGGGGCTGCCTGCCCCACGGAGCGTCCCCCTCGCTGCTGCGCCCGGCAGGGGGCTGCCTGCCCCACGGAGCGTCCCCCTCGCTGCTGCGCCCGGCAGGGGGCTGCCTGCCCCACGGAGCGTCCCCCTCGCTGCTGCGCCCGGCAGGGGGCTGCCTGCCCCACGGAGCGTCCCCCTCGCTGCTGCGCCCGGCAGGGGGCTGCCTGCCCCACGGAGCGTCCCCCTCGCTGCTGCGCCCGGCAGGGGGCTGCCTGCCCCACGGAGCGTCCCCCTCGCTGCTGCGCCCGGCAGGGGGCTGCCTGCCCCACGGAGCGTCCCCCTCGCTGCTGCGCCCGGCAGGGGGCTGCCTGCCCCACGGAGCGTCCCCCTCGCTGCTGCGCCCGGCAGGGGGCTGCCTGCCCCACGGAGCGTCCCCCTCGCTGCTGCGCCCGGCAGGGGGCTGCCTGCCCCACGGAGCGTCCCCCTCGCTGCTGCGCCCGGCAGGGGGCTGCCTGCCCCACGGAGCGTCCCCCTCGCTGCTGCGCCCGGCAGGGGGCTGCCTGCCCCACGGAGCGTCCCCCTCGCTGCTGCGCCCGGCAGGGGGCTGCCTGCCCCACGGAGCGTCCCCCTCGCTGCTGCGCCCGGCAGGGGGCTGCCTGCCCCACGGAGCGTCCCCCTCGCTGCTGCGCCCGGCAGGGGGCTGCCTGCCCCACGGAGCGTCCCCCTCGCTGCTGCGCCCGGCAGGGGGCTGCCTGCCCCACGGAGCGTCCCCCTCGCTGCTGCGCCCGGCAGGGGGCTGCCTGCCCCACGGAGCGTCCCCCTCGCTGCTGCGCCCGGCAGGGGGCTGCCTGCCCCACGGAGCGTCCCCCTCGCTGCTGCGCCCGGCAGGGGGCTGCCTGCCCCACGGAGCGTCCCCCTCGCTGCTGCGCCCGGCAGGGGGCTGCCTGCCCCACGGAGCGTCCCCCTCGCTGCTGCGCCCGGCAGGGGGCTGCCTGCCCCACGGAGCGTCCCCCTCGCTGCTGCGCCCGGCAGGGGGCTGCCTGCCCCACGGAGCGTCCCCCTCGCTGCTGCGCCCGGCAGGGGGCTGCCTGCCCCACGGAGCGTCCCCCTCGCTGCTGCGCCCGGCAGGGGGCTGCCTGCCCCACGGAGCGTCCCCCTCGCTGCTGCGCCCGGCAGGGGGCTGCCTGCCCCACGGAGCGTCCCCCTCGCTGCTGCGCCCGGCAGGGGGCTGCCTGCCCCACGGAGCGTCCCCCTCGCTGCTGCGCCCGGCAGGGGGCTGCCTGCCCCACGGAGCGTCCCCCTCGCTGCTGCGCCCGGCAGGGGGCTGCCTGCCCCACGGAGCGTCCCCCTCGCTGCTGCGCCCGGCAGGGGGCTGCCTGCCCCACGGAGCGTCCCCCTCGCTGCTGCGCCCGGCAGGGGGCTGCCTGCCCCACGGAGCGTCCCCCTCGCTGCTGCGCCCGGCAGGGGGCTGCCTGCCCCACGGAGCGTCCCCCTCGCTGCTGCGCCCGGCAGGGGGCTGCCTGCCCCACGGAGCGTCCCCCTCGCTGCTGCGCCCGGCAGGGGGCTGCCTGCCCCACGGAGCGTCCCCCTCGCTGCTGCGCCCGGCAGGGGGCTGCCTGCCCCACGGAGCGTCCCCCTCGCTGCTGCGCCCGGCAGGGGGCTGCCTGCCCCACGGAGCGTCCCCCTCGCTGCTGCGCCCGGCAGGGGGCTGCCTGCCCCACGGAGCGTCCCCCTCGCTGCTGCGCCCGGCAGGGGGCTGCCTGCCCCACGGAGCGTCCCCCTCGCTGCTGCGCCCGGCAGGGGGCTGCCTGCCCCACGGAGCGTCCCCCTCGCTGCTGCGCCCGGCAGGGGGCTGCCTGCCCCACGGAGCGTCCCCCTCGCTGCTGCGCCCGGCAGGGGGCTGCCTGCCCCACGGAGCGTCCCCCTCGCTGCTGCGCCCGGCAGGGGGCTGCCTGCCCCACGGAGCGTCCCCCTCGCTGCTGCGCCCGGCAGGGGGCTGCCTGCCCCACGGAGCGTCCCCCTCGCTGCTGCGCCCGGCAGGGGGCTGCCTGCCCCACGGAGCGTCCCCCTCGCTGCTGCGCCCGGCAGGGGGCTGCCTGCCCCACGGAGCGTCCCCCTCGCTGCTGCGCCCGGCATTTCAGGCTGCACCCACCCCCAGGCCGGCCGTCTCCACGCCCAGCCGGGACGCTTACAGGACGCACACGGGACCTTCTCCAGGGGACAAGGCACCACGCCCCATTTATTGACAATAGAGCACAGCAGAGTGTGCATTACACACGCCCGCCCCCACACACGCGCACACGCCGGAGCGTCCCCCTCGCTGCTGCGCCCGGCATTTCAGGCTGCACCCACCCCCAGGCCGGCCGTCTCCACGCCCAGCCGGGACGCTTACAGGACGCACACGGGACCTTCTCCAGGGGACAAGGCACCACGCCCCATTTATTGACAATAGAGCACAGCAGAGTGTGCATTACACACGCCCGCCCCCACACACGCGCACACGCACACGCCCCCCACACACATGCACACACACGCCCCCCACACACATGCACATGCCCACCCCCAGGCACACGCACGCGCCCTGGTGACGGAGCAGTTACCAGTCTGTTGCTCGGCCCAACCCCTTGGCCTGGTAGGTAGGTTGGGTGGGAGGAAGGAGCCGGGCGCGTGTTGGTCTGGACTGCTGCTCCTCTTGGCAGGACGGGAAGCCGAGGATCCGTACGAGGCGCTCCGTGCTTTCTAGGGTTTGCCTTCCGTGCAGGTCTCTGCATGTTGCCTTGTCAGACCTTAATCAGTCCCTCGGCATCAGGACCAGTGGTTCTGTGCCATGTTTGTCTGGAGGTTGTTCTTGCAGTCGTCCGACGTCCGTATGCTGACGAGCCCTCCTGGGCGTTGTCGTTCCGGTGGAAGTCGTTAGCGGTTCCCTAGCAAGGGGGGCTTGCCGCTGACTTCAGGGGTCCTCAGTCTGGCCCGGCAGTCTGCATCTCCGGAGGCTTCCGCTTAGTGCGTCTGAGTCTCC